AACGGCGGCTCGGGTTGGGAAAAAAAGGTGTGCGTGGAAGTGGAAGGGCACGCGTGCGTGTAAGGATGCCACGTCCTCCACCAGCCCCGGGGCAGGGGAGGGGGACGGGGTGGGGAGATGGGCAAGGGGGGGAGGGAGGGGAGGAGGGAGGGGGCTTGACGTCGGGCCGGGCACTCGCGCTGGAGCTGGAGCTGGAACAGGACGTGGAGGCGTCTGGGCCGCCCGATCGAGTGTGAACGCGAGCGTGACCAGCGTATCCTTCGCAACCATTCGGACCAACAGGAGTTTTACAAATTGCCGAATGCGCATGACCGTCACAATCGATACTGAGACCCACGCGTGTATCACCCTCGTCAAGGGAGCGTTGCACAGAGTTCTCACGGCTGAGTGCCTTCACATTCACGCGTGCCCCAAATGTTACCAATACACATTGTAGCTGACATTGAAACTGTCAAGGGCACCCGTCGCTTGCGTATAAAACTGTGGATTGTCCCATTCGCGCGTGCGCGTGTGACTTTTCTGCGCTTGCATGGAAATCGTCATGCGCATATTATAAGCGCGTAAGGCTGCCCCACACGGAATCCGTGAAACAGTCTAAACAGTCACCCCTCCATAATATATTAACATGGTGCCGATCCCCTCTAATCGCATATGGTGATATGTAGGTGTCTGAAAAGTGACCAATGGTCTCGTCGAGAGAATAATGTGGCTGGAGAGGCGAAGCGTCTGAATGCTCAGACTTGATCTAAAGCGGCTACAGCCTGCTGAGAAACATGTTGTAGCGTCGACGTCCATAGGGATGGGGGGGCGGACTGGGGGAAAACGAGGGATGGGAAACGAGCAGACTGGGAAAAAGAAACGAGAAAAAACTATACCGCGTTAGTCCCTTGCCGGGGTCTCCCTCTCGCCTGGGCTGCCCAACGCAGGGGCGAGATGACATGCTGCCGAACATGAACCTGCGACTGTGCAACTTCGTATCGCATGGCTGCAATTCCCGTTGGGTCTGAATCCCGTGGAATTTCGCAAGACGTCTAAGCCTGGAACCTCCAGGTCGCAGCCATGATGACCTGTACTGCACTCTGCGAAGAGCCCTCAGCTCTTGGGCAACCTGACAAGGATGTGGCGAGGAGGAGCAGGTCAAAGTGAAGGAACCGGATAGGAAGGAAAAGGAGCCGTTTTCCCCCGTACGCGAGGGATCCGCACGAAATGTGAGCACCGGGGATGGACCCTCGCAGCACACAGCGCGCACTCGAGCACTGTGAAACCTGGTTCGAACCTTTGTTCGCCCCGAAAAATAAAGATTTTTTTCCACGGCAACAAGGTTGGGGAGAAGGAAGAATCCGCTGCCCCTCAGGGAGGCTATACAGATCGCACGCCCAGAACGAAACCGACAGCCGGAGGGCAGTGATAGCGAAAACCGGCAATAGCCCCGTACTCGGGTTAGAACACGATCCACATGTCACGGAATCGGCGCGGTGACACTTTGCATTGAAATGAGAAAGCACACACACCCTGAGGCACGCGTGCGCCGCCTGCGGGAGAAAATAAAGCGCACCGGGAAGGAGAGAGAAGGGAGGAGAAGGACCAAGAAGAGAGGGCAAAGAGCGGATGGGTGTATTAAAGCGTTGTGGCTGCACTTCCCCATGATACCACCGATCATTCATATAATCGGGCATCGCACAACAGCAAACAAGGAACCGCGGCACAGTACAGCACTTGACACAAGACCGGAACCTAACCCGAGTTCCAGACCTGCTACATAAGTCAGGCGTTGGGTGCGTGCACTCGCCAACCGAGTTTCTAAAACATGGGGTTGGGCACTCAGGTGCCCGGCCAGGCGCGGGACTACACCGCAGCGGCTGGAGTGCGAGCCGGTGCCAACGGAACAGACCGGAGTCGGCCAACAACGGCTGCAGCAAAGCATGCGCGCCCTGCCTGTGCGAGCAGTGGCAAACATACCACTAATTCGAGGAGGGAGGGGGGAGGACGAGAAGGAAGGAGGGGTGGTGGTGGCGCACGTTGGCTTAAGCGTTACAGCTGTGCTCATGCTACCTCTGAAACAAAACAGGGCAATCAAAACTTGAATTCAATCTGACCTCGCCACGGCGCAATGCGCTGTAAACGCCGTTCTCGAGCGATGGCACGATTGGTTGCAATACGCGCCAGTTGCTCCTCGGAGAGGGCGGGAGGCGGAGGAGGAGGAGGGACCACAGACAAGAGGGGGCGGGCCTCCTCGGCGCTCTGGGCGGCGCCGGCAGCCATCTGCCTGGCCTGCTCCGCGGGCGCTGCGGGCGCAGTCCCGCTCTCTGTCGGGAGAAGGCCGAAAAGCTCACCCGCGGCCACTTCTTCGGCCTCGTGGGGATCCCAAGGGGCCACCGCAGGACCACCGAGCGAAGGAGGGGGCGACGGCGGCGGCGGCGACGACGAAGGCGAAGGCGGCGGCGGAGAAGGGGGAGGAGGGCCACCGGAAATAACTACCCACCTCTCAGGCTCATCAGATCTCATGGCCGATGTACTGCAAGCGTAATCGGGGGCAACCTCGTGAAGCCTGATCGGGTCCCATGGAACGTGTAACTGTTGGAGCTGGTAGCGGAGCTCCTCTGATTCACCATCGTCGTCCCACGGCTGTGACTCGTCAAAGATACGCGCGCAAGCATCCACGATGCCCTTCGCAAGCGCGCGACACATGTTGTCAGGATTTTTTTTTTTTTTTTTTTTTTTTTTTTTTTTTTTTTTTTTTTTTTTTTTTTTTTTTTTTTTTTTTTTTTTTTTTTTTTCTGTGCTGTGCGGAACACCCCATCGTTGGTTTTCCCCTGTAGGACCAGGTGGGAATTCGGAGGGTGGGAACACCTCCCCTGCAGTGCATCATAGATGGATGGCATGCGTATGGCAAGTACCCGTGTCGGTGCCTTCCCAAACGTGCTGGGGTCGCCCTCTCTAAAACAGCATTGGTCGAAGCCTACCGCGGTGGAGCATGGCGCTGAAGCGATGGCGCGCGCTGGCGGCCACATGAAGGAGGTAGGAGCGCCCTTTCTCCAGACAGCTGGCGTGGGATGCTCCATCCATGCTGCCGTGCCCGCTCTAAGATGGGCTCCCATGAGGTGTAGTATAGCATATAATAGCTGGCTCCCGACACATAGTTGCTGATGCTGCCGAGGTGTCGCCCATGGTACGCCCCACATGTATTCAGTCGTCCGTAGTGGGGGGGGGGGCCCCTCCAACCAACGAGCTGCACTCCATGTCTCGCATGGAGGGCCCCCCCCCAGAACACCGCGCTCTCCTAGCGAGTATGTGGTCGACCCACTGTTGGATTGTATCAGCCCGGGCCAGATCTCCACGAATAGAGTGGATTGTGATGTCCACACTTAGCACCACAAACTCAAAGCTCGCGGAAACCAAGGTATCTTCTATGCGAAATTGAACGTCACCCTCCCTGCGCATACCCGAAAATACGTTCAATATGAAAACCGATTTACGTCTAATCCTGATCGGGAGAGATTGGGCAGCCATGTCCGTGCAATCTTGAACTCGGTAAATGTCCCACCGGTCCAGGAAGGGGTACTCTTGCGGAGGAGCCTGTTGAGGGGCTTCAAGGGTAGGATTAAATATGAACTGCCTGTAAGGGTCGTCTAGCTCGTACATGGAATCTAGGAGAACCTCACGAGCCTGTTGTTCAGTAAAGGAAATGAATACCCAGTTAGAGTCCCAGATGAGGCCCTCTGGAGGAACATGCGGGGCAGCAGGAAAGTCGGCGCGCCATCTGCCGAGCCCTGCACGTCTTTTTCGGACCACCTCAGCTGCGTCCTCTGCCGCCCAAGCACGTGCGAGTGTGATGGGCGCGCGTGCACCATGCAAGAAGTAAGCAAGACAGCACCTGGCGGAGTCAAATGCCAGGTGATCTCGTACCTGTCGCCTCTGCGAATACTCTGTGGCACATGCTCTGCATGTACTGGAAGGACCCATGATGGCTTCAACATGATGAATGAAAGCAAAGTGTTGGCGAACAATATGCTGTTGGAGGCCTCTACGCTTGGGGGACCTCTGAGAGCACCAAGGGCACTGGTTAAGCATGTCAACTTGACTCCTCTCCTCCTCCTCCTGCTTACGTAGTGGGTGGTCGGGGTGGGTGATGGGAAGTGGTGCGCCACGCGGTCGGACCAGCTGAAAGAACTGTCTCTCTGCCTCCGCTGCTGTGGCGATTCTGCCTGCTGTGCGCACATGCGCATCGAGAGCAGCTCGGAGTCGGCGACGCCATGCAGGCAGAGACTTACTAACACATTTTTCCCACTGTTGCAGGGCCTGTACCGGGTCGGGCATGTCGCGTAATTCACTGCTGAGATGTTGGAGCCACTTGAGATCTTCACAAACCTGTCGGAGCCATGCTTGGGGGTCTTCTTGAAAAGCCAGCGCTACCAAAGCTTTGAGGGTGTCCGAGCCGAAGTGCACCAGACGCCCGAAGACCCGAAGACGATGAACTCGAAGTTGGGTCGAGACCTCCGCGCGTTGGACCGCAACCAGGACCTGGGAGTCGGGACAAGTGGTGTCGTCGTAACGCGGAAGGTTGGCGGCAGCCCTATATTTGGACATGATGCTGGCGGCAAGCGTGCGCAGCTGAGCCTCTGTCACGCCGCCCCACGTCCCCGCATTGAACAGTTGCGAGGATGCGACCAAGGAGTCAAGAAAATGGAGCTTGAGCTTGTGATCCTCTTTGGACTTACCCATGGCGTAGTATACTCGTCGTCGTAACGGATGCCATGCTGCTGCGCTGACGCGGTGTCGGTGGGCAATCTCTGGGCCCAAGGAGGCCTTCTCATCCAAGATAGTTCCAAGATGAGGGTATTGTCGAGTGACGTTGAGCTGAAGCGGTCCTCTCGTAGTGGTTCCGAATTTGAGGGTCCCTTGAAGGTCCTTCCAAAGCCTTGTGCGCGCAACGTCCGATCCCTTGCCTCTGAATTGAAATAAGCATTATGATTTGCCTTTTTTTTTCATGTTAATACTCATGCCATGCAGTGTGAACGCGTCTATCACTGTGCTGCTGACCACGGGGGCCTGTGCTAGCACATGCTCAGCGCTGCCAAGGATGATGAAAGCACCGTCGTCGAAAAAGCTGATGTCCAGTGCAGTGGAGGTGGCGTTCGCACCTCCCTCCACTAAATGTGAAAGCGGTGAACCCACCTTCGTAAGGACTCGGAGATCCACTCCAGTAGCCACAATGTCCGTGACTGCCCGATTGACGCATTCCGCCATAACAGAACTGTAAATGACATCCCCCAACTGTTGTCCCGGAATCGAGCCCATAATAGAAAAGGCTATTGTTGTTGCACCCGCGTAGTAGAACCATGCCCCATGATACGATGTAGCAGTTAGCGCACGTACATGTTGTGATATGCCCGATCTCTCCAAGGTGTTGTCCTGTGTGTATTTGTTCCATGATATTGTGCATTGCGCTTGGTGGTAGCTTGGCTGCTTGTAGTATGCTTGCCAGCTCGTCGTGAGTGAGACTAGAGTCCATGACCAGTTGCCTCACCGCTTTATAAAATGATTGCACAGCGTCCACCATGAGGAAGACCGCTGATTGTTTCTTGCCTGCTGCAATGTTCTGAAAACTGCGCAGCGCCAGGGCGGCGAGGTCCACCCCCCTCCCTGAAATACCTCCATATTGAGTGTCCCCTGCGGCATGTGGCAAAGCCAGTGCGATTGGCGCGCGCTAGAGCATGCGATACCGCTTACCCAAGTGAGGGGACACCATCACTGATCTCGAATGCACCGGGATAGAAGGATCAGCAGCTCCCTTCCAGATGCCCCAATAACATCCCCCCCGCCATTGTATCGGTTCTTCGAGTCGGAGACACGCTTTGACCACTACCGGATGGTAAAGAGCACCCAATGCGGCTCCACAGTGCCGGGCCAACCCTCCAGGCATTCCGTCCAAGCTGGCCGCGGAAGGGCGCGCTGCACAGCACGCCGTCTGAAACTCATGTAGTGCGGGGAGAAAGGCGTCCTTGGAGGGTATGTTGTGTGTCAACGAGGTTGGGAGCGGCCTGAAATTGGCAAGCGTGGACTGGGCATGTTCGATAGGGGCCACAGCGCTGATCTCCTCGTGAGCAAAGTGTTCTAACCAAATGTCGGCTGCCTCCGTAATAGTTTGGGCAGGTGCTCCCGTCACATCGCGGACGATCGGGGCAGGGCACGTGCTCCTCTTCTCTCGGGAGCATGCGCCTAGGCCTCGTAGTTTGCGGAAGACCTTGTCATGTTGATGCGCCGACCATTCAGACTTGATATCCTGCGCGAGCTGTCGGTAGTGCAATTTGGCATCCCTGCGCGTACATATTCGTATCTGATATACTGTGTGTGCCACCAAGAGGTCCCTGATAGCATACGAAGCGCCACTGAGTAGTTGTACGGTATGCATGGCCACTATTGGTAGGTCCCTACGGGACACTGTAGGAGGCAAAACTTTACGGTCCGTCGCAAATAAAACCATGCATACCTGAGGGTAACGTAGGGAGGGCATCCATTTGGAGGGCCTTCTGGAGTGGTCCATGCGGGCCGATTTGGCATTCATAGTATCCACGTTGTTGGCCAGTAAGGCCATGTTGTCCGAGATGCAAGTGAGTAGATGTTGTTGCGCAGAGCCCACGGCTCGGCAAAGCCTTGTTAGTGCCCAATACACTCCACGAATGTGTAGTGGGGGGTCCCTCGGCGGGTACAAAATAGCGCCAGCTCGTTCGTGCTTGATGGTGTCAATTGCCATCGCCCATGCAAACACGCAAACGGCAAGCGTAGCAGACTGTGCGAGCCTGCCGTTGCGCCGAGCCTGGCGCAACGCGCAGGTGCGGAAATCCATGGCCTGAAGCGTATGCTTCGAGATCCACGTCTTGCGGGGTTGGCGACCACGCTGTGTACGGCGTATAGGAAATGCCTCCTGCATCGCCTGTCGCACATACTTGTCAAAGTAGTAAACCTGATCGTTGGCGTGAACTTCAAAAGGCAAGGGCGGACACTGCGCAAGCAGGTGTGTGAACTGTGCTCGTGCTTGAGGGTCACTGTACAATGCTGGGTCATGGACCACCTTGTACCCTGTGCCAGGCTGAGGTTTCCAACTCATACAGTCGCGTCCCAGGAAGTGTACGCGCGCGCTCACCGCTCGGTGGTCTTCGTGGGAAACTGTAAGATCAATGCGGTCGTCCACCCCTTGGGAAGTCACCCACGCCGATTCTGAAACTGCTATGTAATCGAGGCGGTGCCCGTGACTACCTGGAGACGGGGATGTCCAGGTAGATGCGGAAGGAGAGAAAGCGGACAAGAATGTAGACGGCAACCACAGATCTGTGGCCTGCAAAAAGTCGTGGAAGCATTCGCCTGCTTCATTCTGGCACTCAGCATCTACCGCTCCCACAGACTGCGAAGTTACTGAGCCCATTCTGGCATTTGCATCTAGGCATGTAAGCAGTCGCTTGGAGTCACCCTTGAGCGTCCTGACTAATCTCGTCGTGGTGT